CCAGGACCCTAACTTACAAGCCAGGCTTTGAAGCAATTCATTCCAGTTCAGCCACCTGCTGAGAATTTGCATTTCCACTCCAGACGTTCAAGATCAGACTCAACAGTTTGACAAGCTCTCCAGGTGATGCTTAGCGATTTGTTAAAACACAAATGTTTCTGGATAGACATGGGCGGCCTCTGCAGCTACTCTGTGCGCGCGCACATCATGGCTGTAAACATACCCATCACAAAATTCTGCCGACTCAACTTTTTATCAATGTGCCACTTTCCTCCGGGCCATTGAGTCAATTCCAATTCATACGACCCTTGCAGGAGAGGGTAGAACCACCCGAGACGGAAACTCTTTACAAGAGTCGAAAAACAAAAGCAAGAACAGAGAAGCCACTGCTATGGTGTTGATTCCAGCTCAAAGCGACTCGTCTTCTGCCCGGGGAGTGGCCAGTGATGTTGAACTGCCGACCCGGTGGTTAGTAGACCAGCACGTAACCATGATGCCACCAGGGCTCCACACAGGGTTCAGCTTAGTGACAGAAGTGACCACTGTCACTGTGCAGGGCTACCCTCCATAGTAGGAGATTTCTGTCCCTGTTAAGTCATCTCTTCCCCACCTTCACCCGGTGTAAACACGAGTAAACTGTTCTATGTGTAAGCATTTGTCTTTCCTGGTCTTTTTAAATCAGGGAGCCCAACAATACTTGTCGTTCTGTGGTGGACCTCGACCACTCCGGATAACGTCTTACTGCTCTGTCTGGCTGTGGGGATATCAAGACTGCATGTCCCCTGCTGGCAGAGCAGTGCTCCACCACACGGATGAGTCCGGGCTACATGCTGCTCGTCCACGCGTCTCCGTGGACATTTGGTTGTCTCCTCCTTTTGGTTATTGGGACAAGTGGCGTGGTGGATACTGGTGTACAAGCCTCATTCCAAGACAGCCGTGGTGTCTATGAGTGGATTGCTGGGTCATATGGTGATTCCATTTTTCATGTTGGGAGGAGTTGTTTTCAGCAGTGGTGGGACCATTTTGCATTCCAATCTGCATTGGGTAAGGGTTCCAATGTCCCCACATCCTTATCAGCATCTTTCATCTGTGTGTGTGTGTGTGTGTGTGTGTGTGTGCTCTCGCTGATGGCTAATGACGCCGCGCATTTTTTCATGTGCGTGGTGGCCACTGGAATGTCCTCTGGTGGGATGTCTGGTCAAGTCCTTCACAGGACTGGATTGGGTTATTTGTCTTTTTGATGTTAGCCCCTCTCTCACTTACCAAGCACTCCCCTGTCTTCTGGCTGTGGGCCTTTCCATCATTTCCCCACTTGACCGAGGCTCAAAGGAGCTGGGCAGCCACCCTGAGACCTAAGGGTGCCATCACAAGGCACAGGAGGCTGAGTCATCCCCCAGGTGCCATTCTCCTGAACTCCCCAGATCACTCATCACCACCGGGGCCCGGGGTTCCCACACTGTGCTCTGAGAAAGGACCCATGGGTTGAGAGGGGTGAAGAGAAATCTCAGAATTAGTCACAAGAATCAAATCAGAATCACACAGGGCTGGCAGATTGGCCCAGCCGATGCCCAGATGCCAGCCTTTCAGAAACTCAGAGCATCTCTGTCTTGCTTCTTCTCCAAGGGGAGAAGCCAGAGGCCTGGAAGGGACTGGTCTGGAGGGTGTGTTTGTCTGAAACACCACGGCTCACAAATTACAAGATAGTTTCCTGACATCTCTGGGCAGCCAGAGCAGACACCCCCATCTCCATTCTGTATGTGCGGGAAATGAGCGAGGTTGGGGAGGCGGGCAGAGTTGCTCCCGGTCAGTGGTGACTGAGTGGGGCCAGGATCCAGGTCTGATTTTTGCTCCGGTGCTTCGGTCACCTGTGACTGCAGTGGTTGGGGGCCTCTGAGTCCATGTCTACACATACTGACCCCAAGTGATGGAGCAGAATGGCCCAACGACTTTCTTGGTGGTCATCGCCTAGGGGCAGATGGGCAGGTCTGGCTCTCTCGGAGCTGGGTGGGCTGGAACCACCGACTTTTCAATTGGCAGCCAAGCGCTTAACCACTGCACCACCAGGCTCCTTATTTATTAACGACTTGCCCTTTAGGAGGGAAAAAAAAGAACCAATATTGGACATTTCAAGAATACAGAAATAAAGTATAAAGGGAAGCGGGGAATCCACAATCTCATTACTATCATGGTTAAGATTTGGTTTACTTCCTTCTAGTCTGTCTTCCTTTTGATGCCTTAAAAAAAACCCCACCAAAACGGTTATTATCATAAATAAAGTGTAATGCCTTCCCTTCACAGTGCCCTGTCTATTTTGAGTGGAGTAGACAAAGCACTAGGGGCAGTTGCTAGGGAATTGGTTTCAACCCAGAAACACCCTAACGACAGAAGAACAGATCACTCCTGTCCCCCCCATGGTTCTGTTTGAGCCTGTTGTTGCAACCATTGCTAGTCCATCTCCTTGCGGGCCTTCCTCTGTCCCTCTGCCCCTCCACTTCACCAAGCACGATGTCCTTCTCCAGGGACTGGTCTCCCCTGACAACGTGTCCCAAGTAAGGGTGGAAATGGGGACAAAGTCTGAGCAGCCTAGAGAAGGGTTTCTCTGTAAGCTGAGGCCTCACCGCCCCCCCCCACACACACAGATGAGATTGGCTTTCTCGTTGGCGTCTGGGGGGCTGCAGCCATATAAACCAACACAGCAACGCACTGCCATGGGGTCAATTCTGACTCCTGGTGAGCCGACGGGCAGGGTAGAGCTGCCCCCGTGACTTTCTGAGGCTGTAGCTCTTTATGGGAGTAGAAAGCCTCCTCTTTCCTCTGAGAAGCAACTGGTGGTGTCAAGCAGTTGACTCTTTGATTAGCAGCCCAACGAGTAACGGCTCCGCTATGGGGCTCCTTGCAGCCTTGGGAAACAACAGTCGCCAGGGAGCAGCACAGCGGTGCGGCTACGAAGAACTCTAGACGTGCTCGCTCTGAGCTCCCAAACACTAAAGGGCCCGAAGGATGTCCTGCTTGACTCCCTCTGTGTGTGTGTGCCTGCAAGCTGCATAGGCATGCTTCTCCACAACCTGCCTTTCTGTGGAGGGGGGGCGGGGGCAGGGGGGGGGGGGGGGAAGGAGGGAGGGACATGCAGTGGAGAAATGAGGTCAAAGTGGGTAGGATGTGATGGTCAACCAGCTCTAGCCCAATCGCTCCAAATGCTAAGAAGACACTCCATCTTTTTTGGAGGGTTAGACACACTGAGAAAGATTGCCCAGGCTCCAGACCCAACCTAGAGCTGCCTCCAGCTGCGGTGCTACTCTCTGAGCGGACACCCTGGCCCAGACCCTGCAACCTCATCCCTGGCCTGGTAGGGAGCTGGCTGCAAGCAGTCTCCAAGGGGACGGGAAGGATTGAGTTCCGTCCCCTGCACCGACTGAACTTCCCTCAAGCCAGATCTTACACTTTTGAGACAAAAGCATAAACTTTGAATCAGAGACAGAATCTGAACAACCCCAAACGTTTGCCCAGGAAAGTCTCATAAAGGGTAGAAAAACGGCCCCGTAGATATTTAAAAATCAAATAGTGCATTCTCTCTTTGACATCATGCTTGTTTGGCAGATGCCTTTGAGCTGCCCCTACCCCGACTCCCACCCAGCCCCCTAACCGTCAAAGTGTGGAATTGCCTTTAAAATATTAAGGATACACTATTTGCTGCCCTCTCATGGGATTATCAGACCTACACCGATGCAGCTCTCAGGCCCACCAACATCGTCCCATCCTTATCACCCTGAGGTCAACCTCAACTACAGGATTGAGTTTTGTCTGGCTCAGGGCGCACTCCACCTCTGACACTCATTTCATGCCTACTGCTTGTTAACACACAGGAGTCAGGTTAGGGCTAGCAAAGCAAAGGTGTTTATTGCGGAGGGTGACTTCACAGAGAAGATGCTGGGGTCCCTGGGCCAAGTGTTGGAGCATCTGGGCCCCTGGGAAGAGATTTGAGAGCCCCCTGGCCGGCTGGATGGGCCAGGACCACTCCCAGGGTAAGTCCTTCAGCTTCTGGGTTGCAGCTGCAGTGGGGAGAAGACCAACAGATAGGCACCGAAGGGGATTAGCTGGGAGAAAGGAGCTTAGCAGCTCACCCTCAGGAGGGTCCCAGTGGCTCTGGTGACCTTGGAAAATACAAGTCTGACTTGATGGTGACTAATCATATAGCTTTCTACGCTGGAAAGAGTTACCATCTCTGCAAACCACAGGAGGCAGTTCTACCCTGTCCTACTGGGTCTTTATGAGTCGGAATCAACTAACGGCAGTGAGTTTGAGTTTTTAAAACTCATATAGCCAGGATGACTGGTGGCACAGTGGTTATCGCAAAAGGTTCAACCCACCAGCCAGCGCTGTGCAGGACAAAGGCATACTGTAGCAGTCTGATTCTGTACAGATTTGCAACCTTGCTACGCCTGAGTCCACACAATGGCAGTGAGATTGGAAGGTACTTAAAGGTTTAAGTAGGTGGGTTCAGGATAGAACAAATGCAGCTACAATGTCCATTGTGCAATAAAAGGGCAGGTGGTTCCCATGTTGCATAGAATTTTGTGGGGCGGGGAGGGGGGGGCAAAAAGGCCTAGAGAAAGCAGAGCTGGGGACAAGGGAGCTCCTGGGAGCCTGGTTTGATATTTTGGCCCACGGACAGAGAAGAAGACCCACTGTCCTCTCTGTTTGGCGAATGTGTGGCTCTCCAGGCCGCCCTCGCCTTCATCTCATGGGATCTTTCCCGGGCTGTAGAGACTCAATGAGGTGCCCTCGGGGCTGGGAGAACAGCGAGTCTCAGCAGTTGGCTTTGGGAGAGTTCAAATAGCTCCGAGGTTCTGGAAGAATCGATGGAGGAAGCGTGGCCGAGCAAGGCTGACTGGGGCTTTCTGCTGCCCCCAGACTAGACAAACCTGGGGAGCCGATCCCACACCCTGCTCCTTCCCTCCCCGCTCTCCTCTCCCTCTCCCTCTCCCTCTTTCTCTCCGTGCCCTCCACGCGCTCTGGGCAGCGGTGGGGCCCTGAGACTGAGCGCACCGGCTGCGGCGGGCCCGAGCTGCAGGGCCGGCTCCGGAACATGGAGCTGTCGTCCCCGGAGAAGGAGGAGGCCGAGCTGCCCCTGCGCACCAAGCTGCCCACGCCCCGGCAGGCCCCGCGCCGCACCCGCGCGCGGAACGAGCGGTCCAGCAGGAGGTAGATGACCGGGTTGGCGCAGCTGTGGACGAAGGCCAGGCAGGTGGCGAGGGTGAGGCCCCAGCGCAGCGCCAGCACCAGCGGGCAGGGCAGCGGCAGCGGCAGCGCCCGCAGCCGCGCCAGGTGGAAGACGGCTCGCAGGGCGCTGAAGGGCAGCCAGGAGCCCACGAACGTGCCGACGATGGCGAAGATGATGCGCAGCGAGGTCCTCCGGGCGCGGCCCAGGTGCGGCGGCCGGCGCAGGCGGCGCGAGATGCGGCAGTAGCAGAAGAGGGTGACGGCCAGCGGCAGGACGAAGGTCAGCAGCAGCAGCAGCAGGCTGAGGCCCTGGAAGGCGTCCGAGGGCTCCTCCCCGCACTGGCGGCCCCCCAGGCCCCCGGGGAGCGGCTGCAGGCCGCGGTAGGCCAGCGCGGGCAGGCCGGCCAGGAGCGCCGCGGCCCAGACGCCGCAGCAGGCGGCCAGCGCGCAGCGCGGGGTGCGCAGCGGGCGCGCGTCGAGCAGCTTCACCACGGCCAGGTAGCGGTCCACGCTCATGCCGGCCAGCAGCAGCGCGCCCGCGCAGCGCGTGCCGGTCAGCGCGAAGCTGCTGAGCTTGCAGAGCGCCGCGCCGAAGGGCCAGCGGCCGCCCTGCGCCGTCGCCGCGGCCCACAGCGGCAGCGTGAGCACGAAGCCCAGGTCAGCGACGGCCAGGTGCAGCACGAAGGTGTCCACGAGCCGCCGCGGGCCCCGCCGCCGGGCCAGCAGCCACACCACGAAGGCGTTGCCCGCCAGGCCCATGGCGAAGGCCGCCAGGTAGAGCGCGGGGATGTAGGCGTAGCCGTAGGGCAGGTCCCACGACGGGCACAGCCTCAGCTCCTCCAGCTCCTCCAGGGCCCCCGAGCCCGAGTAGTCCCCGGACCCCTCCCAGGGGCTGGGGCTGCGGGACTCGGCGCCGGCCATGGCTGCCCACTGCCCAGGGTCCTGTGCACGACACGACCCTTGGCGCAGGCGGCAGCAGCTCTGAGAAGGTGGGGGGAGGGGTGGTTTGCTCTTCACGGCCGGTGCCCAGCACCTCCCTTCCTGCCACCCCAGACGGAGGCAGGTGGGTGGACGGGGAGGGGGAGGGGAGGGGGGTGGGCCGGGTAGCCTCCTGTGGTAGAGATGGTGGCCTCCGATTTCAGGGAGGCCTAGTGGGGAGGGCAGGGTCAGGGTGGCTGCACAGCTGTCTTTTGTCTTTAGTCTTTCGAGGAAAAGTTTCCAGAAAGGGGGGAGGCGGGCCACAGGGAGCGAGTCCCAGCACTTCCTCAGCTCATCGGTCAGCTTCTATGCTCATGAAGTGGGGGTGCTTGCTCGACCCCCACTTTCAGGCGTCGTTGGTAGGGTGTTGTAAAAGGTCAGGTGGGCGCTCCATAGCCCTAATCCGTTCTTAGTTCCCCTCGGCCCCTTGCTAGCTCCTCTAGGACACAGAACCCAGATGAAGATTTGGTGAGGGGGTGAGGCCCCTTCACCTGCCTCCCCTTCACCACTCTAGGAAAGAGAGGCTCTTGCATCTGGTGGGCATGGGCTCTCACGGCTCTGGAGCTGCCACTAAAGGTCTTGAGCTGAGAGCGGCTTTTGTGATCCAGTTGGGGTCTCCTGGAGTCACTTGGAAGGGTGTGAATGAAGCCAAGGCTGGAGGAAAGCAGAGGCAGGAATCAAACTGGGACCAAGGACTGCTGGCTCACCTGTATCCCGCCTTCCCCACCCTGCAGTAACTGGCCTGCTAAGTCACAGTACAAGAAACTCAGACGGAAAAGCTCAGTACAAACGATGACACAAAATGGCACCTTCGTAAGCAGCAGGTTAATTGTCCTGCATTAGGATTCAGGAGTTTAGGGGAGGGGGAACCCCCTGTGTGTTTAGGAAGCTAGGAGGATTCCTGATGGAGGGTAGGGATGAAGGCTGGCCTCCTAGAGGCTGCCTGGCCCTCCTGCACGGGATGCAGCAGGTGAGGGGACACTGACTTTGTCCCCTGAAGGTGGGGTGGAGCTGTGACTTGGGGACTCCACATTCTGGGTGACATCTGAATTTTTCAGACATGCTTCCCAGGAGACCCTGTGTTAGAACTGATGTTACAGGTGTGTGTCCTTCCAGGGTCCCCCATGCTGTCACCAGGATGACTAGCTGACCTAATGGTGACTCTTGGAGGAGGGTGACCGGTGCCACGTGATGAGTTTAGTTGACCGTGAGCTGCTGCATGGCATAGTGCGGGGCTGTTTTGGCCATTGTATGAGGCATAATAGCTTTTGTTGTTTCGAATGTTTACTGTGGCACGGGTGAGAGCTTAGGGGAGACTGGTTCCCATTCAGGAGTTTAGACACAGCTTGCTTTGGAGCCTTCCTTGCAATCCCCTCCATGTAACGACGATCCGCTCACTTCTTCCCTGACTTCCGGGTTTCCATTAACCCATCTTTCCCGCCCCTCCTGCCTCTGAACTTTGGTTTTAGGCAAATGCCACCCTTATGGTCCCATACGGTTGCTGTTCTGAGAGGCACGATCCGTATGCATGTTAATGCTCACTTTGTAGTCCTTTCTATTGTCTGCCTGAAAGTTGACCCTTGTGAAGAAGTGGATTAAGTGCCAGGTTTGATGGGTGCCCCAAGCCCATAGTCTTGGGGTTTCCACCAGTCTCTGTCAGACCAGTAAGTTTGGTCTTTCTGATGAATTTGAATTTCGTTCTAGTTTTCTTCCACCCTGTCCAGGGCCTTCTTTTGTGATCCCAATCTAAACAGTTGGTGGCGACTGCGTGCGCCATCCAGTTCTTCCGGGCTCAAAGCGCCTGCGCCCCATTAGCGCTTTGCACCATTGTTTTCTGGAGCCTTTCCGTGTCTTCACCAGCTTTGCTCCACGCAGGAAGAGGCCCACAGCCAAGTCTCTGGAGGGCCACGGAAACAGAGAGACCAAACTCACGCATGGAGTCAGTGCTGACGCACAGCTAACCTACAGGACAAGGTGGAAGTGCCCCTGTGAGTTTCCACGTCTTGAACTGTTTATGGGAGTAGAAAGCCCCATCTTTCTCCCAAGGAGCAGCTGGTGTTTTCAAACTGCTGACCTTGATGATTACAGCCCAACTCTAAACCACTATGCCACCAGGGCTCCAAATGACTACTCGCAAGATTTTAAGAAGAGACGTAATTCTTGGCCATAGAGGTTCGTCATTAGTTGGGAGAGATAGACACATAAGGGATTTACCAAGAGTCAATTTGATTCCAGAAATCAAACTGTAAAAAAAAAAATGTTTAAAGCAATGTCGTTTTAGAGTTTTGAGAAGGGAGTGGCTACTTCTGTGGGAGGAGTGAATTAGAAAGGCTTTCTAGAAGCTGGGACTGGAGGTTGATTCCAGGAAGGAGCTGATGCGCAAATAAGGGAAGCAGAAAAGAGGGGAAAGGGTGAGACTAGAAGGAGGAGGTCAAAGGCCCGAGCAGACCGAGACAAGTAGACAACTGGGGTTCATAGAGCAAGCAGAGGTCCGGTGTGGCCTGTGCCCAGGCTGGGAGCAGGGTGGCAGGAGATGAACGAGGAAAGGTTGTTTGGGGCCAACTCACAAAGGGGTTTGGCATTCATTCTGCAGGAAGGAGGAAGCCATGGGGCCTTTCTGAGTAGGGGGCACACCCTAAGTCTGTTTTGAAAAGATGGCTGGCAGAGCTGTGGATGAGCAAAGGGAGAGGTTCTAGCCATGGAGACCCACCCCCACTGCCAGCACATCAATTCTGACTCAGCGCAACCCTGAATAGGCTTGTGCATCTTTGTGGGAGCAGACAATGTGTTGATCTTGCCCTCAGCAGCCCAACACTACCAGCAGCACCAGCAAGCCTCCTTGGGGAGACGCCTAGCAGCCCATTCTACCTGTGATTTGTGCTGGGGGTGGGCAGAGTCTGAAAGGGAGTACCAGAAAGGAAAGGATGCGTTCAAGAGGCATCGTCATCGGGTCTCTGGTCTCCGCAGATGAAGTGTGATGATTGTCAATGGCAGCCGAGTCGGCTCTGACGCCTGGTGAGCCCTTGTGGGTCAGAGGAGCACTGTGCTCCGCAGCAAGTGCACTGGCTGGTGTTTGGGAAATTGGGAAGTTGACTGCCAGGTGCTTTTACGTAGATGCTCCGGGTGGACCCAAACCTCCACCCATTAGCAGTTGAACTCATTAACTGTTTGTGCCACACAGGCCTGGGGACTGTCGGTGACTCTATGGATTCTGTCCCATCAAAGG